AATATTTTATCTTTTTTGGCAACAGGAATGTTGTACATGTGAGAACCTGAGACGAGGAGATCATCCAGGGTTTTCCAGGATCCTTAGGAGTGAAAAGGGGGTAGGAGTGTCAGAGTGAGAGACATAAAGATGCCAGGCCATTGACTTTGGAGATGGAGGAAAGGTCCTCAGCCAAGGAAAGCCCTCAGCCTCTAGAAGCTGGAAAAGGCAAAGAAATGCATCCACCCCAGAGCTTCCAGGAGGAGTGGAGTCCTGCCAGCACCTCCACTTTAGCCCAGTGAAACTTTCGACTTCCAGAACCGTAATAAATTGTGTGATTCTATGCTACTAAGTCTGTGACAATGTGTGTGCTATGGTATCAGCTGGAAATGAAAATGTTTCCCATTCACATAATTTAAATGCAAAGAGTCCTTAGTGAGATTTTGAGAAGAAACAAGAAAAGGAGCTTCATTCTACAGATGGGACTGTGCAGGTAGAATGAGAACCACACAAGAAGAGATTGATCCCGCAGCTGACCTGAATCCTAGGAAGCAGAAACTAGTCTCTAAAGTTGATCATAAGAATGCAAAACACCTACCTCTATCTCCTCACAGGGTTTCCAGAAATCCTAAAGGCAGCTCTGATCATTCCACTGATTCTGGAATGAAGAACTAAACTAATCTTATCCAAATCTTGTGCCATGGGTTCAGACTAAGAAGGAATAAAGCAGTACCCATCAAATTTCAGTTCATCCTATGTATTATAGAATATTAAAGATGATAATTTTACCTAATGAAATTTTGTTTTTGAATAGCAACATACTTACATGTTTAAATAAAGGATAGACCCTGAAGAGCCTTACTCTCACCATACCTCTGTCCTATTTTCCCTTATCCTACTTATAACCATTTGCATTAATTTTTCATTATTATTCTAGTGTTTATACAAAATTGAATAAATATGTATTTATGTAAAATTGAATAAATACTTCCATTCATCCTCTTTTTTTACACAAAAGATGCATATCATTACTGTTATGCATCTTGATTTTCTCATCAAAACAATGTATCTTAAAGATCATCTCTGTATCAATTCATAGTTCTTCCTCATTCCTTTTCATTCTACAACTGCATAGTATTCCACTTTGTATTTCTTCCTGAGAGCATTTCAGGTGTTTCCAAGTTATCATAATTCTTTGGACTCAACTTCATATGTTCAAAATGACACCTGTACAAAGTTTTTACTAATTTGCATTTTCCTTGTACAGGTGTCATTTTGAACATATGAAGGTGAGTCCAAAGGATAAATCGCAGAAGGGAGACTTCTAGAGTAAAGGACCAAAACTTCTGAAATTATATAAATATTTCCTTTCATAGAGCTTTACCACTTTGTGCTTCCAATGTTTGAATACCTGTTTCCCCACCATCTCAAAAAGGTATGTGTTATCAAACCTAGGTTTCTCCAAATTTGATAATTGAGAAAATATCTCACTAATTTGCATTTTCCTTTTTTATATTTTAAAAATTTGTTCTAATCAGTTGTACATGACAGTATAATGCATTTGACACATTGTATAACTTGCATTTCTCTTTAAAGTAAAGCTGAGCATCATTTTTTAGGATTAGGAATCAAGTACATTTCTTATTCTCTGAAGTGTATTTTCATATCCTTTGATCTCCAGTTGGACTTGTTTGCATTGGTTTGACAAAAAAAAAAAAAAAAAAAAACTAAGAAAAGAAAAATAATCAGTTGCAAGAACCACCATATTCTAAAATGAGGATTTCGAGGTTGTCTTCTGACCCTCAGCATAATACTTCTCAGGCATATAAAGTGGTTTAAATGGAAAAGGGGAAAAGAAGTTTTTTCAGAGAAAGCTGTTGGTGTGCTGAGCATTTGCATCTTATGCTAATGGTAGAGGCGAGAGGGTCTTCCCCAGCACACACCCAGAAAGGGGAACATCAGGACCTCCACTCAGAGAATTAAGCTTGTGTCCTCTAAGGTTTCAGAGGACAAGTGGCCTGTATCTGGTTCCAAGAATAAGAAACCCAAGAGTCAAGAGGCTGAGGCTGTCATCCCAGCGGCAGGGCAAAACAAGAAGCATGTGACCTACCCACCAACTGGACAATGGGTCCAATGGGTGGCAGTCGGCAGCTAGAGCTACCCATAATGGCCAGGCAATCCTCCACTTGGATGGAGAAGTCATCTTGATGTGACTTTTCCCAAAGAAAGCAGACTGCCCAAGCAGAAGACCCAACTCATAGCAGCAGGAAGAGGCTGTGGCATGCACTCTCCAGGAGCAGGGGCTGAGGGAAAACAAAATAGAAACTAGACATAATAATAAATAAATAAATAATAAAAATATATAAATATATATTTATATATCCTTCAGATATAAAAATATATTTATATATAAATTATATTACTTATTTATATTTTATATAAATATATGTTTTATATATATATAAAATATAAATCTAGACATATCCAACAAAACATATGCATGAATGACTTTGTGCATTGAAAACTGAAATACAGGCAGGAACACAAAGGAAAACTTTACATGGAGACACATATCATGTTCTGGGTATTTAACACATCCTCCCCCAAAAAATAAGACTTAGGAAACTTGACTAAATTCTTTAACTTATATAGCAATAAGTATACATGAATAAATATGTAATACAAGCTTAAAATACTGATAATTATTAGAAAAATAGTAACTTACTTTTACTTAATATATAAAAAAATATTTTAAAGTTATAGCAGGTAGTATTGGCACAGAAGTAGGTCAGTAAAACAAACAAGGAAACTCAAAAATAGATATTTGTATATGGTTTCAAGACACGGGAGGCGAAATGGTCAATGCATATTAAAAGGACAGCTGGCTAAACCACTTAGCAACAACAACAAAAAGACACCCCAGCCCCAACCCCAGAAACCCCACACCTATACTAAAATAAATTTCAGATAGACTTAAGATTTATGTGTTTAAAAAAAATGCTAGATTATATTTGTTACTTTGAGACTGAAATGTCCTTCTAACCATAGCACCAAAAGCAAAATATATAAGGAAAAAAAATTAACTATACAAATTTTAAAAGTTTTTTTGTAACAATTCATAACATAACAAGGTTATTTAGGGGGGGGAAAGGGTTAAACTCTCCAGAAATAAAACTAGAACAATTGTTTACAAAATATGACAGATGAGAATTAAAATCACAATGATATTGAATTTTTTCAAATCTTAAAAGATAACCAGGCCAAGTACAGTACTAAGAAAGAAGGCACTTTCACAAAGAATTTTAAATGGCAAATCAATATGCAAAATTTTCAGAAAAAATGCCCCCCAAAATTAAAACATCATTTTTACCTAACAAATTAATCAAGAAGAACAATGCACCTTGGTGTTGAGGCTTTCTGCTCCTGATAGCGTGAATGGGCAACAATCTCTCCAGCAGTGAGCAACCCAACATAACATATACAAAGTTTCCATCCCAACAATTTGACCTCTAGGAATTCAGCCTAAGTGATAATTACACACATGTAAACAGACTTGTATAAGGACAGTAAACAACTGGAAAAACTAAATGTACAATAGAGTGTGATTAAATAAACCATGGTACCAATTTGTAATGCCATCATGATGGATGTGAAAATGTGTCCAGAAAATGTTGACCAGCAAAGGCAGAATGTTAGACAACCACACACAGTTTAACTCCATCCTGGTAACACCAAGTCATGCCCAGAGGTACAGATAAAGAGACACACCACCACCACCAAAGTGATTCATTAATTGCAACAAAAACACACCCTGCTTTGGTCATCGATTTGCTTCACTGTGGCATCAGCCCATACAGTTGAGAACAAAAAGGTCACATCCTTCCCTCCAGAAGCAGGCCTCGGCTTTAACCCAGGAGAGTGTGATAGATGAGAGGTCCTGAAAACCTGATTTGACCAGAGATTTTCTCTTTGAATAGGACAGAAAAAAATTTCTTAGAAAATCAGAATGTAAGATTAGCAATAATAAAGGAACACTGAGAATTTCTTTTTACTTCCTTTAAAATCAATTTTAAATATTAACTTTAGAGCTAGATATGGTGGCACATGGCTCTAGCCCCAGTTACTCTGGAAATTGAGGCAGGAGGACAACTTGAGCTCACAAGTTAAAGACCAGCCTGGGCAGCACAGCAAGACCCTGTTTCAAAAATAAACAAATAAGTAACTTTATTCCATAGTAATGTGGAACTTTGAAATCATTATTGCTGTTCTGGTCTCAAGCCCTCAGCTGCAATCCTGGGTCTTAGATCACAGAAAAAACTGTTAACCTGCTTGGTTGTTCGTTGTGCCTTCTAGAAGTGATGGGTGAAGGTAACTTACAGTGAAAAGATAGTTATAAAAGACACATATGCTATATATAAAGGAAATAGTTTAAATATATAAATTGATGCCCATTTACGCTATCAGGAGCAGAAAGCCTCAACACCAAGGTGCATATTGTTTGGAAATTTAAAGGTCTGACAACCCTCAGATCCAAAAAGTCTGTATAAATATTAGTTCAGTAGCTAATTCAAGGGCCCGCAAATGCCAAGAAAGAAAACTAGACCTGGCCTACAACTCAAGTCATGGATCTGTCTGAACCTATTTCCCCATTCTTAAACGGGGACCAACAACCCCAACCTTCCTACCACACAGAACCATTGTGAGGATGGAATGAAAGACCATGAGGAAGTGCCTTTTGTACCGTTGATAGAAACAGAAACTATGGACACAAAAGAAATCAGCCCGGGCACATCCCCATGCCTGGGCAACCCTATAGTTTTGAGTCCTGATCTAGAAGGGAGCTCATGTATCACCAGCTGGCCAGACTGGCGATATGAACTGGGTTCAAAGAGCTGGCTGTATCAATAACTAAGAAAACGGTGAAGAAACCACGCAGCACACGAATATGTTTCTAAGGCAGGATGGCTCGGCTCGGTGACCCCAAGGGTCAGCTCCAGCGCTGGAAGAAGCAAGACAGCAAGCACACCAGAAACCTTCAATTTATTGGGGAAAAGACATTCCAGAAAATTCCACCCAAACAAGGCAAGGGAATCAGGTTTCAAGGGGCTGCCCATCCCCATTAGGTAACGCTCACGTAGGGCTTGAAGGAGGCTCCGAGGCCACTTGCCCTGCACAGCTTTTGCATGCGTGCTAGACCAGTACCCCCATCATTCCAGGCAGGGGGAGCAAGCTCAGCCTGGGGCAACGGGTGGCTCCCCACACTCATGGGCTCATGTGTTCCCCTTCCCACTGTTGTGGACAGTTGTGGACACCTCAGGACCTAGCTGACTCTCAAGCCAGGTTCAATGCCTCAGTCCACAGGGTGCTACCTGCTCAAAGGACCCTGCACTCTCCCCTTTAAGAACCCATGTAAAAAAACAACAAAAGTATTATTGTAAAGCTACCAGACAAATTTACAGACCTGGTAATAAACAAAGCAAGGAAGAGAGTACGGGCTCAGATTCTGTCTTTTGATAGAGATGGCCTCTGAGAAAAACCCTTTCTCATCAAGGCCCTGCCCTACACTAACCACAGTAACTTGTAATGATTACAAATTGAGATTGGAAGCAGCAAAAATAGTGCAAGTTTGAATGGTTGCACTAAAAATCAAAAGTAGAAAGCTATTTGGGAGTTCTACTCTATAATTCACCTTAGATGAAGGGGACAGGGTTTTAAACATTGATCTTACGTTGGAGTCTGGGGCAGTACCTCACAGGACACAGATGAATTTTTCCTAATACTGCCTAATACTGGCAGGGGCCAGGGGCCAGGGGCTAGCAGCTGACATTGAATATCCAAGTATCAGAATATTATCTCCAACTCTCTGTCTTTTCACAATTGAGTGGAACACTTTTCCCTCTTCTGCCATACTATGGAGCAGCTTTTATGGACAATTTCTGCCTATTCCTATTGTCTCCTCATCTGCTCACAAGCCCAGGTGTCTTAGTCTGTTTTCTCTTACTATCACCATATACCTGAGACTGGGTGATTTATAAAGAATAGAAAGGTTTATGTTGGATCATGATTCTGGAGACTGACAAATCCAAGAGCATGGTCCCGGCATCTGCTTGGTTTCAGGTGAGGGCCTCCTGCTGCATTAAAGCATGGTGGTACCCATGGAAGGGTAAGTGGGAGTATGCAGGAAGAGACAAAATACGAGGTGTGGCCTCACTTTATAACAATCTACTCTCATAGTAACTAATCCAGTCTCACAAGAGTGAAAACTCAATCCTGAAAGCAAGTCATTAATCCCTCTTAACGATCTAATCAGCTCTTAAAGATCTCATCCCTTCCAACACCACCACAAATGGCAATCACATTTCAACATGAATTTTGGTGGGGACCAACCATACCCAAACCATAACACCAAACCACTCAGATTTACCCACCAATTCTGCAGAGGACACCCCAGCCTCTATATTAGAAAGACTGTCCCTTTTCCTCAGGACCAAAATGGAGCACAATTCCAGAGACACAATTCTGTATGGTCCACCCTGTGATTGTGCAATGTAACTGTCATCCATGCTGTTCATTCTCCAGGAATAGCAAGGGAGGGAGAATCCACAAGCCTCTATTTCTTCTTCACTCATTTCTTACTGAGCCTTGGAGTTGAGTTACCTGATAACTCAATGAAGAAAGCTAAAGAATATTGATTAAAACTTTAAAAATCAAATTTACTATGCTCCATCTGTAAATTCAGCACCCTCCCAATAAGTCTAGGACTGCTAATATGTAATGTTTCGTGGTCCACGACACAGTAACTGTCATGGCTACTGAGGCTGTAGATAAGGCACATTACCTGCTGTCCCCTCCATTCCTGGACTCTGCTGGCCAAGGGCTTGATAGTGCATCAACCTGTTCTTACTACACTACCACCAGATCCAGACTCTAAAGGGAGGCATGTTTATGAAATGCTCTGTAATTAAAAAAAAAATTAACTAGGGGAAAATAACCTAAATTACAGAATATTTTCACTGGCATGTAGATATTACTTTTGAGCACATACAGGACAAACTGGAATTGTATCAAAGAAATGCTAACTGTCAGATATTGCAGGGAACTTCCTGGATTTGAGAGGCTGTATATTTTGTAGTTAGTATATATCAATTAATTGGAAAAAGGACTGATTCTTCAATGCTTGAAACATATGCCCATGTCAATATTCTCCATCCCTCTCAATGACCTCCTTTGTAAAGTCAAATTCTAGCCCAAATGTAAGCCCTATTTCATTACATATTGTAAAAATATATATACATATATCTGTTCTGAATTAATTAAGCGATGCTGTAAAGGAGAGTACAGAGACTCTCTTGCATCCAGTGTCTATAGAAGCTGACTCACAGGCATCACTCAGACCAGACTCTCATGAGCTGTAGCCTGTGATCAATATGGCATTGGACATCAGGGGTCTCAAGTTCATAAGACACAGAACTGGTCCTGAAGCAGGAGAGACGTCAACAGTTCCTGAGTTTTCTCCCTTTGGGGGATTCCACAGAGATAGCCACCATAGTGAATCCAGGAATGGAGAAAGGTGCAGGTCCACACACCCGTCTGGGTGGAAGCCACACAGGGCCTTCATGCAGACACCTGAGAAGCAGTTAGAACATCTGCCCCAGCAGCAGGGCATCGATTCCATGGAGCACCCATCTGCAATCTAGATATGGAGGAAAAAAAGAGAAGAGACAAATAATGAACACCCTTTGGTTTTCCCACTGTGCATCTCTGCATGCACCACACACACACACACACACACACACACACCCTCAGGGGAGGTGGGGGAAAGCAGCTTCAAGGCAGGCCGGCCACCCCACTCTGTGAGCTACAGGGTAGGTCATACCTTTCACCCAATGACTGCTCTGCTGAGCCCGGGACAACCTCCACCCACATCCCCTCTGACCCTCCTCATCCCCAGCTGTTCTGCATGACTCCCACCTCACCCTCCCCTCCATTCCACTCATTTCTCAAAAACGACAGTCCCACATACCACACTGCTGAGAAGGAGAGGAATGCAAGAAGGATCACAAAAGCTATGGAGCCCAGTCCAACACCCACCATCTGCTGCAGTGTGAGTGACGAATCTGTGGGATAAAACCACACACTGAGCCCGCAGCACATCACAGCCCTCCCAGGAGGGGCACAATCCAGAGTCGGGCCCCCTTTAAGGAAGAATCCCAAGAATGCCCCACCATGGCTTTGTGGCCCCTGAAATGGTCCTGCAGACGTAGGGCTTTGGGAAACCACAATTTCAAGGCATTTCTGAAAATCAAGTGTAAAATAGACTATATTAAAGTGACAAGGGAGAAAAAGGCTGATCTAGTGAGCATATAAATTCTACACTTTGTATCAGACCTCTCTCAGGAGAATTACACTGGATAAATTTTTATGCACAGTTATCCTTTGTATGGAGGAAGAAGTCATTCTGACATCATCTGAATTTTTGGACCAAAAATGTTAGCTCCAGTGGTCAAAGAGAGCAGAAAAATATCTTGTGTTAAATAGAAGATATTTAACATGTCATTTTCCCTATACCTCAACAAGGATAATACCACTCCACTCTGCTCAGAAAGTTGCTGTGTGGATAAAATAAGAAAAATTGATATAAAAGCATTTTGAAAGACATTCATTCTATTTGGGGAACATTACATGCCAACTCCAAGGAGATTACTGGTTTCAAACTCTAAAACACCCACATTTGAGTTGCATATTTGGGCCAAGTGACTGAATCAGAGCTTCATGTCCCAGACCACAGTGAAAACTCTGGTTGAATTTTCAAACATTTATTTAGTACCTACTATGTGCCAGACACTGTTCTAAGCTTCTCACAAATGTTAAATCATGTAGACAGCCTTCTAACCTCATTTTACACTGGATACTATTATTAGTCCCTTTTTATAGATAAGGCAGGGAGTGGTTAAACACAATTCTTATCTCTACAGCTGGGTTAAGAGCAGTTTGATTCTACTATAAACTCTGTAAGGTACCTGCACCAGCAAGAGCAAGCATAGAACTCACCTCTTGCTAAAGAGTCTTACAAAACCTACTGCCTCCAAAAGTATTGTCAGAGACTTTCTAGAAAAACATGGACTACACTGTCTGGTTGCTTTTAGTATTCAGAAGAAAAAGACCTTGCCACTTTTAGAAGCTAGATTGTAAAAAGGAAGGAAGAACAGTGATTAAATTAGAAATTAGGAAAATGACTGGAATTACCAGATATGAAGGCAGTACAGACAGGCGCCATGGTATATGCCTATAATCCCAGCAACTGAGAAGGCTGAGACAGGAGGATTACAAACTTGAGGCCAGCCTCAGCAACTTAGTGAAGCCCTAAGCAACCTGGCAACATCCTGTCTCAAAATAAAAAGAATTGAGGATGTAGTTCAGTGGAATAGCATCCCTGGGTTCAATCCCCACTACCAAAAAAAAAAAAAAAGAGTCCAAGTGCAATATGCAGTGGGGTTAGGGCTGGGTGTAGCAGCACACTCCTGTAATCCCAGCTGCTCAAGGGCCTGATGCAGGAAGATGATGAGTTCAAAATCAGCCTCAGCAACTTAGCAAGGCCCTAAGCAACCAGAGAGAACCTGTTTCTAAAAAAATACAAAGGGCTGGTGATGTAGCTCAGTGGTTAAGACCACTGGATTCAGTCCCCCTACCAAAAAAAAACATTGTTAGGGTTTAGATCCAGAATATCCCCTGATGATTGATGTGTTAAGGGTTGGTGCCCAGAGCAGCAATGTTCAGAGGTGGGACTTTTAGAAAGTGATCGGATCATGAGAGTACTGACCTCATCAATGAATTAGTTCATAACTGAATGGGCTATTAGGAGGTAGGTCCCAGCTGGAGGAAGTAGGTCACTGGGGATGTGCCTTTGAAGGGTATATCTTATCTATGGCCCCTCCTTCTCTCTCTCTCTCTCTCTCTCTCTCTCTCTCTCTCTCTCTCTCTATATATATATATATATATATATATATATATATACACACACACACACACACACACATATACATATATGTATGTATATATATATACACACACATATATATATCATACACATATGTATGTATGAGATATATGTATGTGTGTGTGTGTGTATGTATGTATGTATGTATATCCCCCCTTTCTGGCCACCATGAGGTGTGCGGCTATACTCCATCATAACCTCCCTGCTATGATGTTCTGCCTCACCATAGGCCCAGAAATAAAGGAGGTATTTAGTCATGGACTGAAACCACTGAAACTGTCAGGCAAAATAAGTCTTTCCTCCTTGAAGTTCATTTCTTCCAGTATTTTGTCATAGCAACAAAAAGCTGACTAATACAACCAGCATAGAAATGAATACACTGGAACAAAAAAAGAACACCTAGAAACAAAGTCAACTATATCAAATCATTGCAAAGATGGAATACTGAAGTCAGATTGTCCAAATTTTTTCTGAACATCATACCTCACAGTGTGACTTTGGGCAAGTTATTCAGCCATTTTGTGTCTCAGTTTCCATACTGAAGAACGTTATAATGACATAGAAATGACAACAAAATATCCACCAGAGAAATAAATGAGGTAATACATGTTAGAATAGTGCCTAGCACAGAGAAAGCAAAAACCAAAGTTATATTATTAATTATTGTTGTAACTATTGTTTTGTTACTATTGCAAATCAATGAGTAATGATAAATTATTCATAATTAGTGTGGAGAATGTTCATTAACCATTTAGAATAAAGAAATTTTGATCATTAGAATTTATACCTTATACCAAAATAAGATCCAAAAGGATTAAAAACTTGAATTGAAATCTGAGTTAGAAAATGTTGGCAAATATTTATATAATATTAAACTGTGTAAGAATTTTCAAAGTATACCTATTAATGCATGAGCCTTAAAGAGAAGGAGAGATTTAACCACATTAAAAGGTATACACTTCATTTACCAAAACTTACCATAAGCAAAATTAAAAGATAAATGGCAAACTGGGCAAAATATCTGGGATTATAGTCAAGAGGTTAATACATAAAGAGAATTACAAACTAAAAAGGAAAACACAAATACTCCAATAGTAAAATAAGCAAATTATATGAAAAAGTAAATCATACATAAAACATGATCACAACATCAATAAACCTTTGGTTAAATGCTCTCTTGCAAGTAATGAAAAGGTAAAGAAAAAAACTGAGATACCATTTTTCTGAGATAGCATCTCACAAAGTTATTCAGGCTGGCCTCAAACTTGTGATCCTCCTGCTCATTCTCCCAAATCACTGGAATTACAGGCATGCATCACTGAACTGGGCTTGATTTGTTGTTTTAAGAGAAAATATAGCATTGGATATGGAGGGTGTGCAATGGGGGAGCTGGTACTTTCCTGCTCTACATGTTTCATTCAATCTACCCAGTTTTTGTCATAGCTTTCACACGTTTTTAAATTTTGATTTTATTTTTTTGTGGTGCTGGGCATTATGCACCCTAGGCAAGTGCTCTACCATTAAGCTACATCCCAAACCTCCTATTTTTTTCCTTTATACTTTTTATTCCATATATTTCTAACTTTTGATTGATGAAAATATTGAACTGACGATGATTTCGAGATCCAAGTCATGCATATTCCTGGATTTGATAACTATTAACTATTAAGGAATCGATGGCCAAATCTGCAGTCATTCAGTTTGTCCCTATACCTATATATGACCCCATGTCCCCACACCATCCCCAATGGGGTTGTTAAGTGTTTGCTGAAGTCAAAATACATATGCCTGCCATATTCCCCTGATCAGTGAGGAACTCCATGCAAGAAGGAGAATGACCCAGCCTCATCTCTCGGAACTCGCATGCTGCCTTGCGGAGGAGACTGCTGTTGCCTCTCCCAGAAAGTCAGCTCTCCCTTGAAGACCTGACCCAGCCTTGACTTCAAGTTATCATCATCTATATTTTTGGTGGCTCCTTCTTTGTACAGAGATTCTTGTTCTTTGCTTATCTCTAATCTTGTTACATCTCTCCTCTTCTTCCAGATTTCTCCAAGATCACTGCAATGGTTTATTCATCCCATTTGAAAGTTGCATGAGCCTGCTAGAATGTGCATCATCTACATTAGGAGACTTTAATCTATGTACAGCAGTTAGATCTTCCCTTGCTTTCAAATATCCTCCCACAAACCAACAGGATGAAAGTCAGGTTCCTCTTGACCATCCCTCAGCAGGATTTATCCTAAGTCATAAAAACAACTATTCCTTACTCTAGATATAAATATAGAAAAAAATGACCTTTATATATTTTGCATAACATGATTTAGATTTTGGCTCCCAGTATGATTCTTGCTGGTGGGACAGTTCTTGGTTGTATGTCGTTTTTGTCTCCATTGCTTAGCACTCTAAAAATCTGCAAGAACACTTGTTTGTGTAGTCACACAGGCTTCTTTAGGGACTCACTCCACGAATTCCTTACTAAAAAAAAATTTGCAACAGGCCAATTTGAATTGTTTTTTCATAGCTTTGCCACACTGGGGTGACCCTCCCTTCCATGGTCTCATGCCATGGAATCAGGCTCATTTTTCTTTTGAATCACCTGTAGAATATTATTTTAGAAACCCAAGTGAGTGACTCATGCAATATGTCCCAGATTGATTACTCCTTCTTGGAGAAAGCAAATCCATTAGAACTATACTTCACCATTTCGGCTTATTTTAGTTCTTCCACTGGTGGAAACATCACAGGTACTGAAGAGTAAGTTAGAAAGGACTTAATAAAAAAGAAATTTAAAAATTAAAAAAAAAAAGAAAGGACTTAATCCTACTCTCAGAATTTGTGATAACTTGAGGACTTCCAGTGGGTGAGGACATTTCTTTTTTCCCACAAATTTACACAGGCCTGGACATTTATCAAAAGCAGCAATTCTGTTGACCAACTAGGACAAATAATTAGCACCATTAGTGTGTTCAATTTTTCTTTGTATTTTAGGGTCTTTTCCCTTCAATTTCCTGTACCGCGGGACACAGCAAAGGAGATCAAAGGAGAAAACCAATTTAGACATAAGTAAGCAGTGCTTAGTAAGTCAGCAATACTGCTGTCTGCATTCATTTTTTATTGCAG